GTTGTGTTTCAGTCTGTTATTTTTGACTGTGTGACTAACAAATCTAAACTCAAGCAAGAGTACTGCTGCCTAAGACATGCAAAGGGTCTTGTATCTCCCCTTTCCCTAAAAGGGATTGCAAAAAAAAAAACCCCAGTTACACATAAGACTCACCTATTGAGCAAATATATTTTGAAAAAGGTCCACAGATGATTGATAAAGAGGTGGTAGAAAATCCTTGTTAGGCAGTTAGAATAAAATTGAAAACCCATTTGCTGCCAAATATAAGGTATGTGTGTATACATATGCTGAAGCCACCAAGATTTAGCATGGGTATGTTTGAAGAATAAATTTTAGGTAAGCGATCTCATCCTAACAATATGCTTTTGCACAAGTTACTCCTTAAAAGTATATTACAATGGTCATCACTTTATAATTCACAGTAACTAATTGATAAATTCAATGCCCACCATAGGTAAGTGTTAGAAGTTTCTTTCTTCCTTACAGTAATTACATCAATTTCTTTCATGATCGTTAGAATCCCATTTTCTATGATATAATCTAACAAAAAGATCTTTCAGGAATCTTGTGTCACACTAAGAATGCTCATAGAGCCAGGCACAGTGTCTCACACCTGGAATCCTAACACTTTGGAAGGCCCAAGTGGGCAGACTGCTTGAGCCCAGGAGTTTAGGACCAGCTTGAGCAACGTGGCAAAACCCCATCTTTATAAAGACAAAAAAAAAAACAAAAAACCACAAACACACACACACACACACACACACACACACACACACACACACACACGCCAAGCATAGTGGCAAGCGCCTGTAGTCCCAGCTACTCGGGAGGCTGAGGTGAGAGGATCACCTGAGTCCAGGAGAGGTTAAGGCTGCAGTGAACCGTGACCACTTCAGCCTGGGTGAGAGAGCAAGAATCTTTCTCAAAAAAAAAAAAAAAAAAAAAAACTTCGAAGATCCTGAACTCCTACAGGCCTTCCTGCTGCCATCTCCCCACCATTACAACTTAGTCCAATGGACCAAGGGGATTAAGAGACAGAAACACCAAACAAATGACTGTTATTATTACATTTGTTCCATAAAACAATTATAAATCAATGCCAAAACAACACAAAACTCAAAACAAATAAGACTCTAAATTCTCAAACTGAGACAACAGAATTTCATGTGATACTAAATGGTCATTTATGGCATTATTTAAATAAATTACTAGAAGACAAACTTGTAGCCTCTTCACATTTTAGGAATGTTAAGTTGCCTAGTATTTTCTCATAAACCCACCAACTAATACCTCCCTGAGCATGCTGGAAGATATATGGAAAGGGAGAAACCTATCTGCCACATAGCTTTTAACATCTCCCTTGGACGACCAAGATATTTATCAAATTGGAGACTATTTTGATAGTCTTAAAAACTAAACTAAATCTAAACCTACTCTAGTACAAGAAACAAAAGCTCTAAATGCTTTTTTAAAAATAGCAATCAGTGTCATTTCACTAACATTAGCACAGTAGTTGAAGCGCCACTGGTTGAACCTGACAGACCTCAGACCCATCTCCATAAGATAATAAATGGAAACCGCTTAACAGCGCTGAGAGATAATTAACACTCAAATGATAATCATGCTAATAACTAAAAAAATTGAGAAAAAAATCCATTTTCTGATTTATCCACTTGAAAGTTCTAACAACATGATAAAAAGAATAGTCCAGTGGTTTTCAACTCCGAATGCAAGTAAAAATCATCCACAATGCTTTTTTTTTTTTTTGAGACGGAGTTTCACTCTTGTTACCCAGGCTGGAGTGCAATGGCGCGATCTCGGCTCACCCCAACCTCCGCCTCCTGGGTTCAGGCAATTCTCCTGCCTCAGCCTCCTGAGTAGCTGGGATTACAGGCACGTGCCACCATGCCCAGCTAATTTTTTGTATTTTTAGTAGAGATGGGGTTTCACCACGTTGACCAGGATGGTCTCGATCTCTTGACCTTGTGATCCACCCTCCTGGGCCTCCCAAAGTGCTGGGATTACAGGCTTGAGCCACCGCGCCCGGCCCACAATGCTTTTAAAATATACCTCCGCCTAGGCCCCATATCAGTTCAATTAATCAGTTTCTGGGGTTGGGACCCAGGGATCAGTTTTGGGTTCTTTTTTGTTTTTTGGTTTTTTTTTTTCCCTTAAACCCTGCCAAGTGATTCTCATGTCCAGTCAGGGTTGAGGTCCAATGTATTAACTTTTTCCCAAATGTTAACATTAAGACTATGTTAAAATACAAGAACTTAGCAATAAATAGGATGGCTTTCAAAACCACAGCTCCTAAAAGAACCAAACGAAAATTAAAATCCTGTTCTTCCCTTTTTGAAAAAAAAAAAAAAAAAAAAGAAAAACATTTCAAGGCTCAGAAAACATACCTACAAGAGGGAAAACATAATGCAGGCTACCGTAAAAAGTAATACATTCTTTTAGAATAAAAATCAACTAATGCAATCTCAGGATAAGACACCCCCCTTCATTGCCCAAAAGACTTACAAGGCGTCTAATCCATTAACACACACCACTAAATATTTCAAATAACTTTCTTAAACCTGTTTTAAACAAAGATTGGTTTCAATATAAAAATTTTGAAACAACGTTAGAAATTGATCTTATGAAATATAAATAAGCTCAAAGAACGCTTGTTATGTGACCAACTAATCAAGAACTGGATGACTGGCAAATTCATGACAAACATCTGTTTCAAAACCATAAGCTACATTACTACCATGTCAAAGAAAAAATCTAAGACAGCCAAGAAATCTCAAATCTTAAGATATTAAAAAACGTACTTCAAGACTCGAAGAAAAAAGATCTCAAGTAAATCCTACTTGAGCATTCCATAGATAAAACATGAGAACTGGGAGGCCAAGGCAGGCGGATCACGAGGTCAGGAGATCGAGGCCATCCTGGCTAACACGGTGAAACTCGTCTCTACTAAAAATACATAAAATTAGCCAGGTGTAATCTCAGCTACTGGAGAGTCTGAGGCAGGAGATTCGCATGAACCCTGGAGGCGGAGGTTGCAGTGAGCCAAGATCACACCACTGCACTCCAGCCTGGGCGACAGTGCAAGACTGGTCTCAAAAAAAAAAGAAAGTGTAAGCACTAGAGACCCCAATACCCTGGTGAAAGGTAAAATCTGTCCTTCAAAGTTCCTTCCTGAAGTAACTTAGATTCTCACATGTACTGTTCCTGCTATTACTCCCGCCAGAAATTCTCTCAGAAACTACCAAGGTCAGCAAACAAAAGAAACATGAGAACGTTGATAACCAGAATTGCAAGTTATATGTTCATGCAAAAAAATACAAGAAAAGGGGTAGAGAGAATTGATACAGTCCAAACGTCCTATTTTTAAATTAGAGAAAACAAAATAGTAAAATACCAGAGACATTTTGAGTTCACCTGTGGAACACCAATTTCAAATACTTCAAGCTTTCACTCCACCCAAACGCTGGGACGATAAAGTTTAAAGGGTTAAAGTTAGATGTATGACAAAACACACGAGTCTAAAAATTGAGAAAACGAATGTTCACACTTTTGTACATTTAATACATAATTCTTCAAGCATTTGAAGGCATCTGCTGAAACCAAAATGGCAGCCCAGCGAATTAAAAGACCAGCGAGATCTAAAGGAGAGTTTGTAGTCTATTTTTAAGTTCAAGTTTACTAACCAGCCAAGCTAGTCATGGTTAAGGAGTCCTTACCTAAGGGTAGATAATGAGCTCCGACAGGGTTAAGTACTTGTCGGAAAGTTTCCTAATCAATGCATCCCAAATTATTCTTCCTCAAAAGTGAAAGTATTCAATGTTACGTAAATTTAGGGACTCTTGGGTTTCCAGGTAAAAGAACGGTACAAATACTTCTCTCCCCGAAAAATAAAGTATGAATATTTAACCTATGCCTACAACTTATTTAAATTCAAAGACAATCTGAAGCAATTATACACACCTGTAAACTGCACCGTGGAAATTCAATTAACGTTTTAACTAAGGAACTTCCAAAAAATAACATGCTTAATTTAAGCAGGTTCTACTAGAAATTTCGCAAATCCTCCTGTAAGTTCTAGTCGCTACAGAAACCCATACAAATAATTTAGGAAGCCACCTATACACCTGCTCTATAACTCTTTAACTTATTTCACAATGAATGAAAAATCAGCCATTTATCCAACCTGAAGCCTCACGTCACAAGAATCTGAAGATCTGATCACTGACAAACTCGCACATGCTATTATTTTTTGTAGAAATAGTTAAAAATACAAAGGTAATAGGTCCAAGGTAGCTTAGAAGCGATTTCTGCATTCAAAAACCCCTTTCAAGGCTTTGGCCCTCTGCAAATTAAGGGAGGCGAAGGTGGTGTAGGAGGCCGATAACCCGGCTCGGACTCCGGGAGCCCAGGGCAGGGGAGAAACTGCGGGTTATCGCGGGAGGGTGGGGGGAGGCGGACAAGTCGTCAGGCCTGATAGCCAGGCGTAGCCGAGGCCTAGCTCCCCGGCTCCAAATCACTCCACCTCAGTAATGGCGTTTGGTGTCAAGTGGAACCCGACGGCGTAGGAAAGCGGCGGCCGGGTCGGGGGCGGTTAGCCCCCAATACGGACCCGGACCACTGGTGCGGACAGCGGGTGCGGGGGGGGGGGCTGCCCGCCACGCCCGGAGACTCCATCCTCCTACTCGGCCCCAGACAGGACGGGAAGGGGGAGGAGGGGGAGGGACGGAGCCGTCAGCCATTTTCCCTTACAGTCCAAAACACACAGACACGCTCTCGGGACACCGGCTCTGCACCCAACACCGGCCCGCGCGCCCGCCCAGCCCGGGCTGGAGGCGGAGGAACCGGGAAGCCCCGGCCCGTCCAGCAGCCGTCTAGGGAAAAAGCTCGCACACACGCACACCCCCCCCCGCCCTCCTCCCCTCACCCACTTCCAGCTGTTGGCCCTGGGAAGGCGCGTCGCCCCGACGCAGCTGGCCACTCACCGCACGACACAGACGCCTTCTCAGAACCAGGGCACGCGGAGGCGGGAGGCAGCAGGCGACGGTGGGGCTCGGTCCCGGGACAAGACCTACCCTGGGTGCATCCCAGGCCCGGGTGACGGGTAACAAAGTGTATCGAAAGGCTGCGGCTGCCGGGCTCCGGGCTCCGGGCGTCTCAACAAGGAGGCTGCACACCGGTGCCGGAACTCGCTCCTCGCCGCGCCCGCCTCCTCCTCCTCCTCCTCGGCCGGCGACGGCCCTCTTCCCCCTTCTCCCCTCACACTGGGGCTCTCGCTGAGCTCAGACGGCTCCGGGCGGTGCGTTTCTCCTGCGTCACCTCCTCCAGCTCCTCCTCCTGCAGCGACGGCTTCACCTTCCCCTAGTCGCCGCCTCTGTCCCCGCTCTGGGCCTGGTCGCTTTGCAGCAGCTCGGTCCTCACTCCCGGCGCCGACCCGAGCACCGGGCGCTAAGGCGGCCGCCTCCCGTGAGAGAGAGGCGGCGGCGGCGGCGGGCTCCCGCGAGGCCTGGGAGCTGTGCAAGGCGGGGAGGGGCTCGGCGCGGCAGAGGCCCTAACGGGGCCGGGTGCAGAGAGGTTGCGGCTCCGGCGGCGGCGGAGACTGGCGTCCGCAGCCGCGGATACCCGTCCTCGTCAATATGGCGGCTCCGGCAAACCAAAAAAAAAAAAAAACCGCTCGGCCAGTGGCGGCGGCGGTAGCGACGGCGACGGCAGCAGCGGTGGCGGCGGCAGCGGCGCAGACTCCCACTAGCCCCAGTACCGCCCAACACCCGAGGTTCTCCGCCCCCGTCAGGCCCCGCCCCTTTGAGGCCCCTCCTCTCGGCCCTCCCCCTGCTCCTGCCCAGCCCCCTCCCGCTCAGCTGCCCCCTCTTCTGCCCCTCCTCCCCGGCCCGTCAAGCCTGAGAGAGCAGCGCGAGTCTCCGAGGGGGCCGGGCTAGGGCGCGAGACGCCTGGAACCCGGAGAGCTAGGGTGGGGGAAGGGAAGACAATGCGGTAAAGATTGTTCGCGCAGTACCGTTCCTTTCGGCTGGCCCCTCCAGGGTCGTGCTACGGCCAGAAATCCTGTTCCATGCCCCTCAGCTCAAGAGCCGGACGAGGGCAGAGGGGGCTCTAGGACGGGGAAGGGAGACCCGAAAAGAACTAGCACACCACGCCGAAGGGGCTGGGCAGGAAAGACTGGCTGGGTGTGTGGCCACGACGGGGTTAATCGCGTGAACCGCAGCCGCGTCGCTCATAGTTTGACTGGAGCCGCTGTTTTTGTTCCATTGTGAACCGTGGCCCCGCCGACAAGAACCCGGATGATGACGTCACCGGCCTCCCCCTTTTCCGGAATCGTGGGGGGAGGGGCGCGGAAAGATGAGATCCCGAGACCACGCGCTGGGCGGTCGCCGCCCCGGTGCCTGGAGGTCCCGGCGGCGCAGCTGACCCGCGTCACGTGACGCACGAGCTGGCCGTGCCACTGGGCTGCGTGGGCGCAAGGTCCCGAGGGCCTGGCCACCTGCTCGGCGCCGATAGAGGGAAGGTGTGGCTATCTCCCGCAGCGGAAGGAGGGGGCGTGGGGAATGAGAGCCTTTTCCCCACCCCGCGAGGGAGGTGCTCTGAGAAACTCTTTCACACGGTCCTGCAGCGTCAGAACCTCAAAGCGTTTAGGCGTCCTTACAGCCTAACTGACGGGACCGATCACCTTTTTGGCCATAGGAGCCCTTCAAACACACCAGCAAAGAAAAAAATTATAAAGTTCCCCAGACGGCTTAGCGAATAGGCGTACTGCATGTGGCAAAATTAGCCTCCATTGCCAGATCAGCCCGATTCAGTGTTAAAACCCGGAAGGAACTTATGAACCCATCCGCTGTGTCATGGACTATTTTCTACATGTTTATATTCCAAAATGCAGGCATAGAAAAAACTTATCAGGCTAATCTCAAATTAATGGGGTGTTTGGAACAATTCTATACAGTCTACCTAGGAAATTAACAGTTCCTAATTTACAGATTTCCTTTTCACTTAAAAATGCCTGCGGACATCAAATGGCCTGCAAAATCGTAGTAAAGCCTCACAAAACGAGATCTATTAAATTTTATAGAGAACGGGGTTGAATTTAGTTATGATTATATCAGTTTGTAATAAAAGACTTAAAAATGGAACCAAACTAATTTAGGTGACAGTGAAAGCAAGTTATTGGTATCTTAAATTTTTAAACCATTTATTTAGCACTAGACTGTTTACAAATGTTTCACCACAAAATTATCTAATAGAGTATCCAAGATACATCATTCACAGTCCTAATAACTCTTAGCATATGTTATCTTGTTTTTATAATTATTTCCATGAATCATTTGCTTCCCCACAAGCTTATGAGCTCCCAAAAAGTAGCCATGAACACCCATGTACACTGTAGGCTGCTATCTTCGATTTTAGATAAGGAAACAGAAAGGGTAAATGATTTGCCCAACGTCAGGATTGGAAAATGTTGAACGCTGGTCTTACCAAAAATGAACCTTTAACAAGGATGTCCCCTCTCACCAATTCTGTTCAACATTGTACTTGCAGTTCTAGCCAGGGCCTGAAAAAGAAATGAAAGGCATCCAGATAAGAAAGGAACAATTAAACTATCTCTACTTGCATATGACATGATTTCATATACAGAAAATCTTGGGAAATCCACTATCAAAAAAACTAATAAAGCTAATAAGCAAGTTCAGCAAGACTGCAGGATATAAGATCAATATTTAAACATCAGTTATAGTTTTACACACCAGCAATAAACAATCTGAAGATTAAGTTAAAATTCCATTTACAATAGCATCAAAATCAATAAAGTTAAAAAATGATTTAACTAAAATGCAAGATTTGTACATTGAAAACTACAGAATATCATTGAAAAACATTAAAGACTGAAACAAATGAAAAAAAGCTCATATTCAGGGATTAAAAGACATAATACTATTAAGATAGTAATACTCCTCAAATTGATCTACAGAGTCAATGCAATCACTATCAAAATCCCAGCAGGCTTTTTTTTTTTTTTTTTTTTTTTTTTTTTTTTTTTGTGGAAATTGACAAGATGCTGCTGAAATTCATACAGATAAGGAGCTCCCCCCACTACCCCACTAGCCGAAACAATCTTGAAAAAAAACAATGTTGGTAGGACTCCTATTTCCTGATTTCAAAACTTACTGTGAAACTATACTGTGTAAGGACAGGTATATACACCAATGGGATAGAAAAAGGAGCTCATAAATAACCCTTAACATATATGGTCAGCTGATTTTCAACAAGGGTGCCATGACCAATGAGGGAAAGGACAGTCTTTTCAACAAATGGCACTGGGAAAACTGGATATATATATGAAAAAATGGAGTTGGATCTTTTCCTCACATAACATACAAAAATTAACTGAAAATGAATCAAGGACCTAACCATAAGAGGTAAAACTAAAAAACTCTTAGAAGAAAACATGATGGGGAAGTTCCACAACATTGGATTTGGCAATAATTTCTTGGATATGACAATACCACAGGTGGCAAAAATAGATAAATTGGAGTTCAATAAAATTAAAAACTTTTGTGCATCAAACGACACTATCAACGGAGTGAAAAGGCAACCTACAGAATATGAGGAAGTGTTTGCAAATAATATATTTGATATAGGATTAATAGCCAGAATATATTTTTTAAAAAACTCCTGCAACTCAACAACAGCAAAAGGAAAAACCCAAGTCAAAAATGGGCAAAGGACTTGCAGAGCCATTTCTTCAAAGAACATATGTAAATATCCAATAAGCACATGAAAAGACACTTAATATCATAGTCATTAGGGAAATGCAAATAAAACCACAACGGAGATATCACTTCATACCCATTAGAAAGGCTAACAACCAAATAATAATAATAATAATAACCAGTGTTGGCCAGGATGTGGAGAAATTGGAACCCTCCTACACTGCTGGCAGGAATGTAAAATGATGCAGCTGCTGTGGAAAACAACATGGCAGTTCCTCAAAAAGCATAAAATTACCATATGACCCAGCAATTCCACTCTTAGGTATATACCCAAAAGTGAAAACAGGGACTCTAACAGACACTTGTATACCACCATTCATAGCAGCATTATTCAGAATAGTCAAAATGTGAAAACAACCCAAATGTCCATCAACAAATGAATGGATAAACAAAATGTGGTGTATCCACACAACTAAATATTATTCAGGCAGCAAACCACGTTGCCATGTATGTACCTATGCAACAATCCTGCATGATCTCCACATGTACCCCGGAACCTGAAGTACAATTTTAAAAAAGAAAGAAAGGAATGAAAGTCTGATACATGCTATAACATGGATGAACCTTGAAAAGATTATGCTAAGTGAAAGAAGCCAGACACAAAGGCCACATATTCTATGGTTCCACTTATATGAGGTACCTAGAGTAGTCAAACTCATAGAGACAGAAAGTAGAATGGAAGCTACCAGGGGCTAGGGGGAAAGGGCAACAGGGAGTTGTTTAATGGATTCAGAATTTCTGTGTGAGATGATGAAAAAGGTTCTAGAAATGCAAAGTGGTGATGGTTGCACAACATTGTAAATGTACATAATACTATTGAATAATACTCTTAAAATGGTAAATTCTGTGTTATCTGTATTTTGCAATGAAAAAAATGAAGAAGAGAAAATCCAGCCAAATACAATTTCATATGGTTTAGTCTATACATTACACTCCCACCAGCAGTTTTAATCTCAACTCTCAAGCCAAGCTCACCACCAGCTGATGTCTTGCACTCTATGGAGCTACCCAGAGGGTGCACCTTGGCTCCCAGGGTAGATTTGGCCTACAGGACTGCCCCCTTTTGAGACCTTCCACTTAGTTAATGGGATAGGAAATAAACAGTTTTGAGTTAAAAGAATAAGTTCATTATCGCAGTGTAACTCCTTAAATTAAAATCCATAGTCCACGTCTTTCTTCCTTTGTTTGGGTTTCTCTTTTCTAACACCTGTCCCTTAGTTTTCAGACTGTAAATTTTTTTTAACTTCCTGGTTCTGCTTCATTAGAGCAAAACCATATTATATTACATTTCCTCATTAAATTTCCCATTGCTCTCTCCCCAAGTCTCCCTCCCCGAGAAATATCTGATACGTATACTCATTGTTTACCAGCCACTTATCTTAAACAATAGACAAATTTTCCTGGATAAATTGATATTATTTAATATTTTCAAAGCTACAAATTTTAAAGTTCTATAGGCAAGAGGTTAAATGCTTCCTACCTGTGGAAATACCTTCCAGGCTAACGGCCAAACTAAAATAGAAGAGGAGGGACCTTTGATAATATGTTCCCTAGAGAAGGCTTTGTGATTGAATGGAATGAGCAAAGTCCACAATGAGTTACTATTTTTAGTAGAAAAATATAAAAATACAATAAGAATCTAAGTAGGTGGTCCCACTTCATCTTCCTTCAAACAGCAGGCAGAATTTGTAGCTAGGGAGAATAAGAGCATAAAATGATCACAGTTGATAATGTGCTATTGCTCATGGATATTCTATCAAATTTTAGACACCAGTGTCTAACATGTTTAGAAGTAGTCTGTCCTTCATGCTCTGCGGGAGTCTCTCTGAAACTGACCTATTGCCAGCCAAAGACTTGGATTTGGAGTCCTGTAAGGATAGCAAGAGTATTTCCAGCCTTGGATCATCCCTGAGTTCTGGGGACATAAAGGAGTCTAAAGCAAAACGACCCTATATCTGCCCACTCAAAGGAGACCAGCTACCTGGTCTTAGTCATGGTACATGGGGCTTAGTCACCAATTAATACCACTGACATTAGAAGGAGAACATCAAAGACAAGCTAGTTATGAGTGTTATCAACTCAAAGACTATTTAATATTAGTAGTAACTACACAAAAGCCTTGAAAACTTACAGTCCATGTATGAAAGAAACTTAACAGTTGTCTCAAAGTTAATCACCTTTTTTTGCTTATTTTTATCCCAAGTTGTTATTTATTTTCATGAGGGGGGAAAAGAATCCTTTATGATAGTGAAAATACACTTAATTTTTTTTTTTTTTTGAGACGTTGTTTCGCTCTTGTTACCCAGGCTGGAGGGCAATGGCACGATATCGGCTCACCGCAACCTCCGCCTCCTGGGTTCAGGCAATTCTCCTGCCTCAGCCTCCTGAGTAGCTGGGATTACAGGCACGTGCCACCACGCCCAGCTAATTTTTTGTATTTTTAGTAGAGACGGGGTTTCACCATGTTGACCAGGATGGTCTCGATCTCTTGACCTTGTGATCCACCCACCTCGGCCTCCCAAAGTGCTGGGATTACAGGCTTGAGCCACCGCGCCCGGCCCCCACTTAATTTTTTTAATACAATAGCTGCCAGCAATATACTGGTGTGATGTTCCAAAGAGAAAAGAAAATACATGCATTCTATAATAAGCTTTCATTTGCCTGTTCAAGAAATTCTAAAGAAAACACTCCATTTCTGTTCAACATTATGATTTGAGGAATTGAAATTTTTCCATGATGAAAATGT